TTTCTTATGAAAGAAGATTAAAGGTCTGTTTGCTTAGCTTGGTGATCCTCAACCAGGGTGACATACTATGATAGTGCGTAAGTATCTACACAAGATTCACAAGATAAATCTAGAGATTTCAAATAGAAATCCACAGCATCCAAAACATGCTGACCTGTTAGGGTCTTTCTGAGTTCTTTACAATAAATGAATTACTCTGCTTTTTTGCCACAGTTAAAAACAAGTGAAAGCGAAGACCTGGGATTTTCTGAAGGGTACCTTGAGTCTAAAAAGTTTCAGAACCACTGTTTTAGCTTAAAACAGATTGGTAGGGGATAGGAGTAGTTTTTACAGAGGCATTTGTGAGATGAATATTAGGGACGGAGAAGAGCTTTTTAGGAAAAGCACAGAATGAAATGGTTTGTTATGAACAAATTGGGATGGGAAATAGAGTTCCAACTATAGGAGTAAAAATTTCAGTCACTTCTGGGCAGTGTTGTGGGGGCAAACAATCTCCGTTTCAATGCATTTATGGAAAGGATGGTTTCATAGATTTCATAGACATTAGGGCTGGAAGGGACCTCGGAAGATCATCGAGTCCAGCCCCCCGCCCAAAGGGCAGGAAGTCAGCTGGGGTCATAGGATCCCAGCAAGATAAGCATCCAGTTTGCCCTTGAAGGTGTTCAATGTAGGTGCTTGAACCACCTCCGGTGGCAGTAAGATGCATAGTTTCTGGTCATCAATATCTCTCTCACGGATTCAAATATTTACAATCCTACTGCAGGAGCAGAGGTAACTCTTACAGTATGGTAGGTGTCTGATAATCCCAGGTTTTGGTGCTTTTGCTGGCTGGCTGCAGGGACCAGGAGGGAATTTGTGTGTCATGCAGAACAGTTCAGATTGGTAAGGACTGGGGAGTTTGCCTTCCCATCACAAGGCATGGTCTTGTGCCTAGGATCCTCTGAAGCAAGATTTGAGGTGAGGCAGTATCTTTTATTGGGCCAACTTCAGTTTGGAGCTGTTAAAATGTTTAGGAAAGAAGCTAAGTTAGTCTATAAGGTGCTTCTCTACTCTGACTTCAGACTGACATGGCTAGCTACCTCTCTGCTTATAAGTAGTTACAGACCAGGTAAAGAGCAGAACTGATATGTAAGTTTGTACATTAAGATTATTCAAAGGGAACTGGCTAGCCAGGCAGCTGGCCAAGGGGAAGAAGGAAGGGAGGCTGCCAGCTCAAAGAGGGCCATCGCTACCTCGTGCTGCCTGTCATGTGGTCCCCCCTATCTCCAATCCACAGCAAGGGGTAGGGCTGTGTGACAGACAACCCTCACAACCAATCAGTGGCAAGGGGCAGGTCTATCAGGGCCCCTTGGCCAGAGGCATGGGGGGGGGCGGGGGGACCCCTGCTGCAATCAGCCTGAGAAAATGGTGGCCGGCCCCACTATCTTCCTGTGAAATGGACCTGCTGCCACCTTGAGTTGGGTAGACCCTTACCGATAGAGCATGGCAAGTTATGCGCCATAATACTGTTGTTTACATTAAGTTACAAACTTCTGTTCCCAGGCCCATCTTCTGTAGGTTTTCTCTGAGAACTGGGACCATGAGATGAAGCAGTTGTGTTGTGAAAAGTGTCCTTCTATTGCTAATGGGTTGTTTCTCTTTCTCATCATTATTGTGTGATATTCATTCTGCAGCATATGGATGAAACCAAATCTCCCATTAGTTTGTGAGGGCATTTGGTGCATTAGATGTATCATATTTTGTGATAGGTATGTGTAGAATCTGATGGTATGTTGGTCGTCATAACAATGTTGGTAGGTTTTGCATTTGTTATTTAGGCAGGTTCTTTTTCCATTTGGTCTTTGATCGGCAGAGGTTGTTTCTGATGATCAGATGTGTAGGAGAGAGATTGGTGGCGGCTTCGGTGGTAGGCAGGCTTCTGTGGGCGGTTGCCACCACCCCTCCCCACCCCCCTGCCACCAGCATCTGCAGGCAGTCCCCGGGGTCTGCGGCCGGTCCCTGCTCACCACCAACACTGGCATCTACTAACAGTGCCCCACCAGCCTCAGGAGGCACCAGTCGTTCATTCATAGATCTTGGTGAGGTAAGGGATTTGAAGACCAGGAGGGAAGGGAGTGAGATTTTCGTGTGAGGTGTGATCGCTGGTCAAGCTGTTATTTAATGACCTATCTTACAGGTTGCGGGGTGGGGGATAATGTGTGGCAACCAGGGGTGTGTGGTCATTGGGGGTTGTCTCTATTGTAGTGTTGTATACAAGATATACAGGTAGTTTATTCAAAGAATCACTCTGTTTCTCTGGTAAAGTGTCCCATGTTTGGTAAAGGCAGTTTTTTGATTGAGAAGGGTGTCATAACCATATTTGCTCCAAAGAGAATTTTTATCTTGGGGGCTGGACGTAATTTACAGCTGTTTTGATATGCTTAGGATACTTCTTGGTTTTGTGGAGATGTGTGGTATATTAGATGAGGTGTTGTGGTAAGTACGTGACCATGGGTTTCTTTGATATGGTTGACTGTAGGGTGCCATTCTTGCTGTGGAGTGTGGGATGTAGAAATGTGATGTTAGTGCAAGAATATTCCACAGAGAATTGGATGGAACAGTGATGGATGTTGAACATGTGTTAGAAATCAGAAAGAAACTCCAGTACTGAAGATGATAATGTAATTTATGTATCATAGGTATTGTAGTTGGTGGTACATACTCCAAAAAACTCTTCTTCAAGGTAGGACATAAGGAAGTTGGCATATTAGGGGGCTTCCTTTGTGGTCATGGCTTAGAACAGTGGCTTTCAAATTGTTTTGGCAACATGCCTCTTTTTGCACAAAATATTGCTGCTCAGACCCACTACGCTCAGCTCATCTCTGTATGTTCATTTCTTAGAAAGAAATGCTGACAACAATGCATAGCAGTGCCACTATTCACTGCACATTGACCAATCAGTAGCTCCACCACCATTATTACAATTTAGGCACATGCTGCTTGGCAAAGCACTGTGTACCCCCAGGTACCCCAGTTTGAAAACCACTGGTTTAAAGGACACATCAGTTGTTGAAGGAAAAATTGCAAGTAAGGATAAAATGGATGAGTTGTGCAAAATCTGGGATTCTAAGTGTTTCTCATGTTCTTGTAGACATTTCAGGCAGGCTGTGATGTGTTTGTTCATGGTGTGGATGTTAGTGCAGAGGTAGATGATCTTCCTAGGACAGTGTTCTCATAGAGTGGCTTTTGCTACGGATTCTGCTGAGGAAGTCTATTGTCCTGTAGAAAGCTTGCTCTTTGAGTGACAAGTGGTATGAGGATGGTTTCTATGAACCCTGATAATTCTTCAGTAAGGGTACTGGAGTTAGGTATGATGTGTCTAAATGAGTTCAATTATTCATGTATCTTGGGGAGCTTATAAAATGTTTGTAGTTTTTCTTGGAGCAGACAAGGAAAGGATTTGATGTCTTTGAGTTCAAGGGTGAATATTAGGGTGGGTCCTCAAGTTTCTTATATACTAACTGATATAACAGACAGCCTAGTTCATGTAGTTCTCACAATCTAGGATAGCTGGCTCCTTTTTAGACTGTATCTGATTCTTCCCCAGACTTGAGGAAAGGCATTTTGCATCTGAAAGCTTATCTAACATCTGTCACAACTCTAAAGTTGACTCAGTAAAAGATACTACCTCAACAAAAAAAAATTGCTGCTCAAATGTTCCCTGGACCATCGTAGCTAGAACACCACTGCTATGAGCATCTTCTGAGCATTACTTAGCTGCTTCTGCTGTGCAGAGGGACTGGCAATGTCATCACCTCTGCTTTTACCTATAGCATGTTGTAGGGTGTTTTGGTATCTCTTGTTTTGCAATTCATAGCTGGGTGTGAAGTGGTAATCTGGAGTCATCCTTGGGCAAATGCTTGCCTGTGAATGATTGCTCCTTCCAGTCCTGTGCTCCCATTATATCTAGGTATTTTAATTCCTTACAAGAGGAAAAAATTCATTTGCAAAAGCTCTTTGTTTATGAAAGACATTGCTGCCAAAGCTGCTAGAATAGATTGCTGTCCAGACTTGAGCAAGAAAATTGTGTGGAATGTATAGGAATAATTCACTGCAACCTCTGCAGTAGACTTTGCAAGAGCTAGGTTATTTATTAGAGGTGCACCAATATATTGATCCATATTGGACTGGCACCAACAAAAGGAATATTGACATTATCGGCTTTTTTTGGCTGGTGTAGCCAATTAATGTCACTGATAAATGCTGCGTGCATGCATGCAGCCAGGCAGCTTGGAGAGCAGTGTCCAGCCTTTAAGTCTGTGGGGGAAAAGTGACATGGGGGAGGGCAGCTGAGGCTCCCACAGTGAGGGAGGGAGGGAATGAGGCTGTGGCAGGGGCTAATCCAGGGGGCATGGCGGGGTGGGAAGGGGGGTGCAGCTTGTCTCCAATAACTCTTCCTCAGCTGCGTCAAAATGATCTTCAGTCTCCTTCCAGTAGGTGACTAGCTATTAGAAACAGATATACAAGTAAATCCAGCAGCAGCATGGCCTTACGCTGAACACCAATGGCTGTTTGTGGGGTGGGTGGCTTTCTCAAACTTGATATTTGCTAAATCCTTGTTTCCAGTATGCAGGGGGGGCGGCTGTCGGTTTTTTGGGGTTTTTTTTGTTTCTGCCGCATTACTACTTGTCATCTTTACACTTTCTATTTTATTGTACTTATTCATCAGCAATGATCTACATGTCTGATTATGAATGTTAATGTAAATGCAATGATCTGCCATGGACCTAAGGAAATCTGTGGAGGGCAGAGCACAGTTACCAGAGTGCAGTGTAGGATGTAATGTGTGTCCCCTTTTGTATGGCAGGTATTTTTAGTAATCATTAACTTCATCAGATGGACTTCTGCCACTGCTGAAGTCACAGCAAGAAGATTATCCGATCTGCTCTATTAAAACCAGATGGTCAGCAGTATAGTATTTATTTTCCACTGAAGAAGCAAAAATGCAATAACTGCAGAGTAGCAGATGGCAGCCAAAATGAAACTGAAATGTCAACTGCATGGTGTATTGGATGGAGTCTAAATTTTTCAGCCTGTAAACTTGTTTCAAGAAATCATTTTAGCACCGAACTCAGCTACAGAAGCATACCAGCACTTGGATTCAGTTACCATACAACTCATGAGCCTTGATTAGAAAAAATTGCTATGACTCTAGACAAAGAGTTTGGAAACTAGCTTGTATGGCAGAAATAGATTTAAAAAACAACACTTGTTCACTTCTCTTATGAAACTAAAGCAAAGGTGATTGTGACTCACTAAATTGCACAAAATTTACCTCTGTTCTTTAAATAGACAGCATATCCAATGCAGTGATAGCAATGCACAGGATAAATGGGTAGCAGAGAAGGGCCCAAGTTTGCAATGTGAAAGCATGTGCTTCTGATTCATTTTCTCCAGCTTTTTGAAGTTCTCCAAATCTTACCAACCTAAAGAAACAGAAGAACTTTTTATTAAGTGTATAGTTGTGGGGATTTCTTCCCCCAGTTCCAAAGTGGGGAATCTCCCTGAGAGGCTGAGCTCAAATCTTGCTTAAATGTTGGTCAGTTGGGTATTGGAAGATCTCTAGGAGACCTCCAGACCCTTTATCTTCTCATTTTGCTCTTCCACCAATTTCTGTGCAAGAAAATGGGTTCCCTTAGACCATGAATGACGCGTGCCCCCAGCGGCTGAGGGGGCATGGCAGCAGTGGGAGCGCAGCAGTAAGCGGGAGCTCCCACAAATGCTGCCAGCACTGTCGGCAGTGTGGGGGAGGGTGGCGAGCAGTGACTAAGGGTCGGCAACCATTTGCAGATGTCGCCGGCGATGGCCAGCGGGAATCACTGACCGCCTGCAGATGCCGCCAGCGGTTTCAGTAATAGTGTCAGCAGCGCCTTTTTGTAGGGGGTGTACTGCCATGCTCAGGGGGTGCAGGTGCACCCACATGCATGCCTTATGTGTTGCCCCTGCCTTAAACTTTGCAGAGAGCAAACTCTATCCTTTCCTCCCCACTCCCTCTCCCCAAATGTTGTGATCCATATTCCCTGCTACTCTGCTGCTCCTCAGAGCACCTTTCCTTCGTCAAGTACCTTTTATCAGAGCACAGCAAGGGAAATTGAGCAGCAATGTTCTCACTCTCTGTAGCAGCTGCCACGTAAGGAAGGACTTTGCAGGATGCAGACAGGGCTTTCTCCGTGTATGGGCCAAAAGTCTCTTACTTCCCTTCACTTCCTCACTTTGCTATGTAAGATAGCAGATGGGCCCAGTTCATTTCCTGCATATGCGAGCAAGGCAGAGAAGTTTCTAAACAGGTTGTCATTAGAGCTGGCAGACCACTAGGGTTTCTAATCTGTAGGAAGTGTCAGGTTTTAGAAATTTTCGTTTGGCCTCAATTGGCCTGAAACTACATACAAACTGCCATTTACTGGGTCAAAAACCATAGGTTTATCTTACTCCGTATCCTGTGCAACACAGTGGCAGACAGCAGATGCTGAAAGGGAGAGTGAACAGGGTATGGCCAGGGCTTTTTCCACTGTTCCTCTTTCACTTCCAGCATTTAAGGTCTGGTAAATTCTGTTTTCGAGACTATAGCCACTAACTCCCATCCTCAAAAGCTATGGGAGTCTTTCCTCCACGAATTTGTTCAATGCCTTTTTGAATCTGGCTAAACTGTCAGCTTCCATAATATCTTGTGGCAATGAGTTCTACACTTGGATTACATGCTCTGTGAAGAATAACTTCTGTGTTAGTTTTAAATTTACTACCAATTTCATTTTGTGAAACTGAGAGAGAGAGTAAATAATACATCTCTATTTACTTTCGCTTCACCATTTAGTATTTTGTCAACCCGTATCATGCCCACCCACAAGCTAATACAGTACAACTTTCTAGTGACCCAGGAGCTGCCCAAACCCCGGGGTTGCTCAGTGAAACCTCACAGTATCACTTTTAGTGACAGCTGCAAGGGTCTCCTGGGCTAGGGGCAGACATTCAAACAGCCTGAGCCTGAATTGATTCAATATTTGTAGGTTAGTCTAACCTGGGTAGGCTCAACCAGTTTGTAACTGTACAGACATCCCCTCTGGACTAAAAAAAATGCAGGCACGTGCTTGCAGTGGTTCAGGCTAAAAGCTGAGAGGCGTTAGAGCAGCCCTCTCTTCCCTTCCACAGTGCTGAGCTGAGGGGGGCGTGGCCAGGCCCTGGACAGATGCTCTGATTAGAGAACCCCCTCCCTCCTACTCCCCCGGACCAGCCCAGCAAGGAATTGATAACACAGTGTTTATCACCCCATTAAGAAAACAACAGAGGGGCATTACCAGCTATCTGTTGATTCTGTCTTTGTCCCATCTGCCACAGCACAGACGGGAGCCAGCGTGTGGCTGTGTGTCTGTGTAAGGCAGAGGGGACGGCAGAATCCCTTCTTGGGCAGTGGGAAGCAGAAGCCAGGCAAACGCCTGCAGTGTCTGCTAGAGCTGCAGCCAGGGAGCAGAGGGGAGGGGCCAGCTCTGCTGTGGAGCAGACCCCTGCCCAGCCCAGAGAGTATGATGGGATGCTGGGGGAGGCTGATTTAACTTAAACCAGCAAGGAGTCTGGGACAGACATTGCATACACCAGTTTGACCCAAATCAGTTAAGCCTGATACTACATTCAACCCGGTTTATCTTAAAATAGTTTTAGCCATTTTCAATCTGGTTTATGTGCACTGACCATCTGTTCTGTGACAGGTTTAAACCAGTTTCTGATCACTTAAACTGGTTTATGTGTAATGTCTGTCCCTAGCCCTAAGGTCCCCAGCTCTGGGACAGACTTCTACCAATGGACCATGCTGGGGCTCAGCAGCTTCCAGTGTCCCCAGCTCGAGAAGGCCTCCCAGGAACCCTGCTCTGAGGTGGATGAAACTCAGTCATACCCAAATAAGAGCCACCGGCCTGATAACATTTTGTTTCATTGGAAAATATCTTAGTTAAGATTTTCAGCCTCTTTGTCTGATGTGATTTCAGTTAGCACGGTGGTAGTTCTCTTGATTAAAAGGTGTAACCGGCTAGAAGCCTTGTGTAAAATACCTTGCCCTGTCATCTAGGTTTGGCCCTATACAGAGGAATTCCCCTGGCTCACAGGAATACACGTCTCTATCCCACCTGGATATAAGGGAGGTGGACTTGTTTATGAGAGAGTGGGGACATGGATTGTGGACTGAGGCAGAACCCGATGAGTGGCCAGGCCCAGAAGGGATGGCTTGAGCTGAACTTTCCCATTCTTAGGAGCTTCTGATTTAAGAAAGCCAGAGTCCAGGGGAAGGCAAGATCTTAACTCTTCTGATGTGGGCTTTGTTTTAGAAAGCAGTGGGAAGGGTAACTAATCCGGGGAAGATTGTTTAAATCACTACCCTCTGCAGCTATAGCTTTAAATTGACAAATGTCAACTTCCATTCAGAACATGAACTATCCCTTACAAAGCAGAATTGGGAATTTACTATTGAGCATCTGCCAGCTCCCACAAAACAAACGCAGAACAGACATGACTTTCCTCGGTTAGCATGGTGAGTGCTTACACCCTGGAAACAACACTGCAGTGGGGCCATTTTTCCAGAGGCTGTAACAATGAGGCAATATACCTGGGATTAACATAATCACATGCTGTAAGCAGTGCTATAAATAATGTAATTGAGATTCAGAGTAGTACATAACCAGAATCTGTGAACATGAAGTAGATTCAAACTAGAGCTAATATAGCTGTTCTGTTGGGGAAAAAAATTGCATTAGAAAATGCTGATTTGGCACAATTGGAGTGTTTAGCAGGAATATGCCAACTTCATTAACATTATCAACAGGAAATTAGCAAAATCTTTCACTTTAAAACATTAAAAATATTTTGTTTCAATTGTTACTGTCGTTAATATTGTAAATGCTAACATAACATATGGAACAAAATGATAAAGGGAAATGTTTTGACCATGCCTAAAAGTTGTGGTAAGATTGAAAAAAGCAACATTTTGGGATATTTAGTTTTGCAAAAAAATCTGAGATTTCATTTTTCTTCCTGACTTGGGGCCAAACTAAATTTTAGAATTTCCCAAGGGATGGAAATATGCTGCACACTGTGTGCCTCCAGACAGAGATTGTGGAGGAAGACGGCTTGAAAATACTGGAAATAAAAGCCAGTCAATTCTAGTGGGGCCATTGCTGTACCTTCTACTTACCATTTGTCATTAGCATGATTTCCCTGGAGGAGAGTCTATGGCCTGTGTTATGGGATGGATCAGACTACTTGATTGTAGTGTGTTCTCTTCTGGCTTTAATATCCAGAGGCTCCAAGCATAGCTGTAGTTCAGGACCATGAAGCACCCTGAAACCTGTCTTGAGCCATTGCCTAGGTTCACTTACTCCCAAGGAATCCCCAAGAGGTGCAGAGATGGAAGAGGCTAAAGTTTAGTTACTGAAACTTGGGTAGGCTTTGGAGCAGCCTACAGATGCCCTTAGTTAAGTCAGGAGCCCTATTGTCACCTGACAATTTAGGATCAGAGGAGGAGGAAAGGGAAGCAGAGCTCACATCCTCTCCTGAGCTGTAGTTGAGATCAGTTCAATATACCTGAGGTCTGAGGCCATGAATCTTAAGTGGCCTGGGCAGTAAAAAGGTCAATGACTTCTTAGCCACTAACCATTAAGCTGCCTTTTTTCCTCTGTTTCACAGAAACTGTTTCTAATAGGCCAGTGACACCAATTAGAACAGCATACACCTTGTGCAGCCATGTCAATTATGCTTGTACAAGCCATGCTGAGCAGTAAAAGCTGAGCAGTAAATGTGACTAAGAGCACAGCAAGCACTTCTGTTTCTATGAGTTCTGACAGTTAATAGTATGTATCGTGTAAGGGAATGACATGCCAATTCCAAGCAACACACGCTGTTCCAGGACATTAATTCAATGAATTTGTTTTAGGCTTCTGAAATTCTTGGCTAATACAGACAGGGTTGAAACTGATGGACATAATTCTATCTGAATATTTAGTTCAAAACATTTTGATACATCTTTGCTGCCACTAGATGACAGTATTTAGCAAATTAATCTATACGAGGAATTGCTGGCGTGGCTAACACTGAAACCAAATTTTTGGCTGATGTGAAGCCACTGAAAAGCACTTGTAGCAGCACTCTGGTTTAGCAGAGAGAGAGAACCTGAGACACTACACTTCAATGCTTTTAATTTTATTGGCATTTGTGCTTGGATGGATGGATGAGTGAGAAGGTGAGAAGTCTCAAGAAATGAAAACCATCTATTTAAGTCATGAGTTAGCAATCACCATAAGTTCAGCCATAGGGTAGGTTGCAGTTTATGAACACTGCGCTCCTAAAGAGGTATTTTTAGTGCTGTCAAATAACTGCTGAAAGTTTCCAAGATCACACTGTATTTCATCCTGATATTAGACTCATTTCAAGCACACAGATGCTCTGA